ACTCTCATACATTTCCCTCTTTGCCTCCAAGGACAAAGTTCTTTGTCTCCACAGACTCCTAAGTGCACCACTCACCCTTTTCCCTCATCAATTCTATGATTCACCTCATCTTTCATAGACCCATCCGCTGACACGTCCACTCCCAAATATCTGAATACATTCACCTCCTCCATACTCTCTCCCCCCAATCTGATATCCAATCTTTCATCACCTAATCTTTTTGTTATCCTCATAACCTTACTCTTTCCCGTATTCACTTTCAATTTTCTTTTTTTGCACACCCTACCAAATTCATCCACCAATCTCTGCAACTTCTCTTCAGAATCTCCCAAGAGCACAGTGTCATCAGCAAAGAGCAACTGTGACAACTCCCACTTTATGTGTGATTCTTTATCTTTTAACTCCACGCCTCTTGCCAAGACCCTCGCATTTACTTCTCTTACAACCCCATCTATAAATATATTAAACAACCACGGTGACATCACACATCCTTGTCTAAGGCCTACTTTTACTGGGAAATAATTTCCCTCTTTCCTACATACTCTAACTTGAGCCTCACTATCCTCGTAAAAACTCTTCACTTTCAGTAACCTACCTCCTACACCATACACCTGCAACATCTGCCACATTGCCCCCCTATCCACCCTGTCATACGCCTTTTCCAAATCCATAAATGCCACAAAGACCTCTTTAGCCTTATCCAAATACTGTTCACTTATATGTTTCACTGTAAACACCTGGTCCACACACCCCCTACCTTTCCTAAAGCCTCCTTGTTCATCTGCTATCCTATTCTCCATTTTACTCTTAATTCTTTCAATAATAACTCTGCCATACTCTTTGCCAGGTATACTCAACAGACTTATCCCCCTATAATTTTTGCACTCTCTTTTATCCCCTTTGCCTTTATACAAAGGAACTATGCATGCTCTCTGCCAATCCCTAGGTACCTTACCCTCTTCCATACATTTATTAAATAATTGCACCAACCACTCCAAAACTATATCCCCACCTGCTTTTAACATTTCTATCTTTATCCCATCAATCCGGCTGCCTTACCCCCTTTCATTTTACCTACTGCCTCACGAACTTCCCCACACTCACAACTGGCTCTTCCTCACTCCTACAAGATGTTGTTCCTCCTTGCCCTATACACGAAATCACAGCTTCCCTGTCTTCATCAACATTTAACAATTCTTCAAAATATTCCCTCCATCTTCCCAATACCTCTAACTCTCCATTTAATAACTCTCCTCTCCTATTTTTAACTGACAAATCCATTTGTTCTCTAGGCTTTCTTAATTTGTTAATCTCACTCCAAAACTTTTTCTTATTTTCAACAAAATTTGTTGATAACATCTCACCCACTCTCTCATTTGCTCTCTTTTTACATTGCTTCACCACTCTCTTAACCTCTCTCTTTTTCTCCATATACTCTTCCCTCCTTGCATCACTTCTACTTTGTAAAAACTTCTCATATGCTAACTTTTTCTCCCTTATTACTCTCTTCACATCATCATTCCACCAATCGCTCCTCTTCCCTCCTGCACCCACTTTCCTGTAACCACAAACTTCTGCTGAACTCTCTAACACTACATTTTTAAACCTACCCCATACCTCTTCGACCCCATTGCCTATGCTCTCATTAGCCCATCTATCCTCCAATAGCTGTTTATATCTTACCCTAACTGCCTCCTCTTTTAGTTTATAAACCTTCACCTCTCTCTTCCCTGATGCTTCTATTCTCCCTGTATCCCATCTACCTTTTACTCTCAGTGTAGCTACAACTAGAAAGTGATCTGATATATCTGTGGCCCCTCTATAAACATGTACATCCTGAAGTCTACTCAACAGTCTTTTATCTACCAATACATAATCCTCTATAATCTATCAGTTTAAATTCCTAGACAAGTCATCAATTACCCTCCCAATCGAATTGGCTAATGCAACCACTCCATCCCCAGAGAGATGAACCCCATCCCTTGCATACATATCACGTTTGCCAAAGAATAGGACCCAGTTATCAATGAATGGGATTGTAAGTTCCTTGCAGTACCTGTCTAGCCAGCAATTTATACCAATTGCCCTAGACATCCATTCATTGCCCACTCCCTTTCTAGGCAAGAAGACACACTCTCTGTCTGACCTTTCTGTCTCTGTTGCAAAAAGCATGGTCCATATATCTTACCTGAGAATCTCCTACTATTAAAATATTCTTACCTTGATTAGCAGGGAAATCAGTGGTACCTTCAACCTCACTAACCACTGAAGTGCACTTATCCTGGAGAACAGAGAATCGATTTCCTACCTTCACATCTTCTCTGTTAACCCTCCTTATCTTCCTTCTTCCTGAACTGTGAACCACTTGCCACTTAAAGCGGCTGCCACTATCACTGCTAGTGACCGTTTCCTCCTTACCAGCTGAATCCTTCTCACATTCACTCCCAAACTCATCTAGGGGAAGCTTCAGCCTCCTATTTTCCTCCTGAAGAAGTAGAACCTCCTTCTTCAACACTTTAACCTGAGATTCTAAAACACTACAACAAGCCATGGTGCTTGGTAACACCCCACACTAACTCCCAGAGCTTAGGACAGGTATGACCGCAGGTGACCACTGACCTCAGCGTACTGACCACTGACCTCAGCGTACTGACCACTGTTTCATTAGTGTTTCAATTCTTCAACTTGTCGGTTTTAAAACCATTCATCACATCTGTAAAACACTGCAACATCATGGGATCTTGATACAAAGAATTCTTCAACACTTGTCCAACCTTTGGACGAAGACCTACTTACACTAGTGGATGGTACCACTGTGATCCCGCCTACTCCTGATTCCACTCACCTGACTGTGTATATAAGCCACCTCTCTGGCCCTATGCTGTACTTCCTAAAAGAGTGATGGACTGAACACATCGATTCCAGGTTAAGGGACTGATTACCTCAAACTCCTCCTCTCCTTGTACCTTTCTGCTTTGTATTGGACTGGTGAAGCCACTGTGCGGCGAAACGTTTCTTAAATAAAGATTCCCATATGTTGCATAAGTGTCTCAATTCTTCAACTTGTCGGTTTTCAAACCATCCATCGCATAATTTGCTTGCAAATGATCACTCAGACGTACTGAAGCACAGCAGATGGCTGGCTTGGCTGGCTAGGGTCTCCTTATAGAGACTGGCTTGACTGGCTTGCTTAATTTGTATGAACTCGGATCTTCCTCTCGGAAGTCAGCAAATAAGCCACGGAGGAAGCACTGCAGAGATGCCAGAGACTGCTGGCATGTAGTAGCGACATCTTGTGATCTGTTGATCACAAGATGTCCACCGGCTTGCTGAATATTCACTCCACTTTAACGTGTATAGGAAATTTTCATGCTCACCGCTGACCATCATTTGTCGAGTTCTTCTTAGATAGAGAGATGGTGATTGAAACATGTTGTAGGCTGTTTTACAGTGTGACTTTGTCAATGGTCCAAGTCGGACCGAAACGTCGTCGTAAGCTTCTCTCTTTTATGTGCGGGTTATTTGTGTATCGTTCCAGTCACGGTATTGTGCCTTTTTGTTATTTATGATATATTGGGTAAATACTTGTTGATGTCCAGCCTGCAGTCCGCGCCTTCTCCTGTCCTCCTAAACACCAGGACTTGGCCCTGTCTAGCCTTACGGTGCATGCGCGGCATATGAGAGTGTGACGTCATGACTAGCAAGTGTTTTAAATATGTTGACATAGCAAGTGTTTTAAATATGCTGACATAGCAAGTGTTTTAAATATGCTGGCATGGCAAGTGTTTTAAATATGTTGACATAGCAAGTGTTTTAAATATGCTGACATAGCAAGTGTTTTAAATATGCTGACATAGCAAGTGTTTTAAATATGCTGACATAGCAAGTGTTTTAAATATGCTGACACAACTTCAACTATCAGTAACTCACAAGAATCACAAACAACATCCACGTATTAATACAAGATACTTAATGCATCAAAGAGTCTCACTTGTTGTGGAGAAGATGCTTCAAGGCCATTAAACACTGAAGGCGATTTTTTAATATCAAATATTATATTTATAAGATTTTTTTTTTAGGGGATATTTTCGAACGAAATTTGATGTATAATCCTTTGATTTTTTTTAAATTTTCGATTACTGTATGAAGATAACATTTTTTTTTTTGCTTTATTGGTTCATAAATGTTTCTAACACAAACCTTTTTCAACTTCCTATGATAAATTATTAAAATATTGTAGAAGCGATGAGCTCGGTTGGTAATGCACTCAGCTCACACACTGAGGTCCGTGGTTCAATCCTGGTACGTGTGAAAGCATTGGGGCATGTTTCTTTAAGACACATGCTGTCCCTGTTGTCCTAGCAATAGATAGGTACTTGGGTATTAGTCGAATGGTGTGGGTGGGATCCTGGGGACAAAATTAACCTAATTTGCCAGAAATGCTCTACATAATAAGGGGCTTGCTATATTGTATGTCACTGATGTCAGCTAAGCCTTTATAAGTCGTAACATGTACTTGCAGAAATAAAGATTATTATTATTATTAAATGTTAAATTATTCCTAAAAGTACATTATTTTTAAAAATTAAAATTCCTATGTTCTAAAAACACTCTGTAAAGTAAAATGTACTTGAAGGATTTTCACAAGAAAAGGTCTCGACATGTGATGGCTAAGAACCACATGTCTTAAAAAATTTAGTTGAACAATAAAAAGAAGAAAATTAAGAAGCTGAGACGAATTGCAAGTTGTTTGTTATCTACTTAAAATGCTAAGGTTTAAAAGGTAACAATATGGTCAATATGGTCAGCTTTAGGCTAATTACTGTCAATGGTTTAATGCTATCACATATTTTCCATATGTCTTGCACAAAACTTCTTTAAGCATTCTTCCCCAGTTGGATGCCAAATTATGGGGTATCTCTCATCTCCAAAGATAAGCAAATATTATAACACAGTTTATCTCAGGTGTCTTAATAGCAGATATGGTGGGTAGACAGTACCTTGCTTGTGTGGAGGATAGTAGCAGTACTTTGTGTTACGTTGGGTGATGGTGAGCATTGGTCTCACTACACACACCTCGCACCCACCTCCTTGGCTCTCAGTGTGACCCATCCTCACACTCCTGCTGCTCGTCTACACCTCACTGTATATTAAATAAACATTCTTTTCACCCAGATTGGCACTGAAGTTGAAAATCCAATAAATATGTAAGAACACTATGTAGAGACCTTAACTGAGACAAGCTTTCGCTTGACTAACTTTTTCAAGTCAGTATAAAGAAGATGGTAAACAGAGTGAGGGGAGCAGGTGAAGAAGAATAGTGAGGTGCGAACTTCTCTATGCCAGGTCAGAAAGGTGATATGTGCTGGGCACCATGTACGTCAAGGGTCCCGCCAACTGGCCAACTGGAATTTCATCAGGATTCTGTGTGATGGTATCTATTTTTATGAATGAGAATCCAAGATATGTTTGTCTGTCCCTGTCTTTTCCTTGGATAACCCTGCTAGTCCATGGCTAATTTATGTTGTACGAAGCCGTGTTAAGAGGCAAAACAGAGACTTTTTTATGTTATTGGTGTGGCAGGTATATCTGTGCTCATTTACGGTACTTGAGAATGCTTCCAGGTTATTTAAGACAGCCAGTTACAGTCACTGCCACCGTCACCTCCACTACTATCAAAGACACTGTCCACACTTGAATAAAAACCCAAATGAGCCCAGACTAAGTCCCAATAAACGACTGTCCATGAATAAATATAAGGATGGACGGCAGTTTCGACTGCTGGGCCTGTCAATTTACGGACCAAGATCGAGCCTTGCGTCCATCCTTCTTTTTATTCGTAAACCCAAATATTCTTGCTGCACTAACAACCACAACAGCTCGTGTGTTTTACAGAGCAACAAACCCTAACAATACAGATACTTAAAAGGAGAAAATGCTTTGAATCAGCTCTTATTCATATCACAGATACCATCTCCCAGAAAAAGGAAAGTTTCCAGTCAGCTGGACACCAGGCTTATACGCTCCCACCTCTCATATAAGACTCGCACCTTAAGACTCCTTGTCAGTCATTCTCCCCACTGTAAGTACCTTTGCTAACCATGTATTCTTTATTGACTTGAAAACGCTTGATCTCTAAGTGAAACACAGTCTTAATATAGATTTCCATTTTGTCGTACTATTTTTATAACCAAAAAGCAATGTAAACAATATAGAAACATAATATAAATTAAGATAATATTATTGTTTTATCATTTCATGGAAAGGACATTTATATAGAAGCAAATTCAACAGCAACATTAGCAAATTATAAGTAAATATTAACTTCAACAAAACATACAATAGTAACAAAATAAATCTTATTTAGACTGCATATATTAGTTTAAGTATGAAATTTTGTCACACGTAGGTGCTGGAGCCTTTGCTATAAGATAATCTTCAATACATAATAGGTAGAGTAGTAGCAACTGTCTTAATACTGCTCCATAACACCTAAAACGTAACACTCAGTTACGTCTTAGGTACCTATTGACTGATAGGTGGCTAAGGGCACCTATCAGTCAATAGGTACCCAATACGTTTAAAGATATATTTTTTTAAATTTACATTTAAGTAAAAATTAATAATTTTGTTCCCAAAGAGCATTAGAAAACTTACCTAACCTTATTATAACAAGCAGAATTTAATTCAGCGTAATCCAACTAAATATATTATAAATAAGTTATAATAATTTAATAATAAACAAACACAATGAAATATATTTTTTTTCGTTAGGTTCTGGATGATTTTTGCGAAATTATTGCATACACAAATTTTCGCTTGCCTTATTTGGCAAGAAAAGCATTGCTATTTAAGACAAAATCGCAAGTTTTACCTATTCTGCACGACATAAATATATTCGACACGATATTCCCTCCTTGTTCCAAGAGCTTTATCATACCTCTTCTTAAAGCTATGCATGGATCCCACCTTCACCACTTCCCTTTCCAGACTATTCCACTTCCTGACAACTTTGTGACTGAAGAAATACTTCCTAGCTTCTCTGTGACTCATCTGAGTCTTCAGCTTCCAATTGTGACCCCTTGTTGCTGTGTCCAGTCTCTGGAACATCCTGTCTTTGTCCATCTTGTCAATTCCTCGCAGTATATATCGTTATCAAGTCCCTTCTATCCCTCCTGTCCTCCAGTGCCGTCAGGTGGATTTCCCTTGACATTCCTTCGTATGACATTCCCCTTAGCTCTGGAACTAGTCTTGTTGCAAACCTTTGCACTTTCTCTAATTTGTTGACGTGCTTGACCACGTGATAAGGCAGAGTTTATGAAATCAGAAGGGTAGCCAAGAGAAGAGAATGAATTACGAAGAGTAGAAATTTCTGAGTCAATGAATCGAGGGGTCAGAAATGCGAAGGGCATGGAGGAGAGAAATAAGAACACTTTTCTTGACAAAGGGAGCACGGTAAGAAAAGTTATGAATGTACATGCCACTGTGCAATGGCTTGCGATAAGCGGAGAAAGAAAAGCCTGTAGCCGAGCGTTGGATGTGTACATCAAAGAAAGGAAACAAAGAGTTAGATTTACATTTTAGCTTTAAATGTCATGGAAGTAGCAAGATTGTTAAGAGCATCGAAAAACTGGGCCAAAGAGCAAAGACGTCGTCTACAAAGCGGAGCCAGAGGGAGAGACGCACACCAAGAGTGTTAACAAGAACAGAGGATGGAGGGGAGCCCATAACGATACCGAAGGTTTGAGAATAGAATTTACCTTGAAAAGAAAATGAGTTAGAACATACACAAAGGCGAATAAGATCAAGAAAGACATCAATAGGTGTTGAATTAGACACATGTGCAACTCTTGGGTATCTTTATTGAGGAAACGTTTCGCCACACACTGGCTTCATGATGAAGCCACTGTGTGGCGAAACGTTTCCTCAATAAAGATACCCAAGAGTTGCACACGTGTCTAATTCAACAACATGTCGGTTCTCTGAACCATTCATCTACACATCAATAGGTATAAAGGATAATGCAACCCTTCATTGGCCTCTCTGAGAAAATTAAAAACATCATCAAGAGGGAAATTGGTGAAGAGGGACTCAGCGTCAAGACCAAGCACTTTACAGGTCGGGAGAGAGCGCAAAAGTTCGATGAAGTCTTGAGAGTGACGGAGGAAAGCATGAAAAAAGTACCAAGAAAAGGAATGAGAGTTTTGGCCAGCCAAGATGCAAGACAATAAGAGACAGAACCTCTAGTGGATATGATGGGACGTAGAGGGGTATCAAGTTCGTGAGTTTTAGAAAGACCATAGAAATAATGGAGAGAGGGACAAATAACACAGAAACGTTGAACAAGATCAAAGTTGGGAGTTCGGAAGTTTACTGGTGAAAGTTCTCTTGATGTGATCAAGAGGGTTTTCAACGAGAGGAGCGTAGGTATGTGAGTCAGAGAGCAAGACTTCAACTTTGCGGAGGTAATCCTCGCGATCAAGGATAACTACCGAACTGCCTTTATCAGAAGAAAGGATGACAGTATTGGTCAAATGTTTTGTTAGTGGGATGAATTGTAAAGGACCTGCCTAGTATGGGCCAACAGGCCTGCCGCAGTGTTCCTCCTTTCTTATGTTCTTATATTCTTATGTATTAGATTCAAGAGAAGAAAGGGGAAGTTGACAGCGTCTAGAAAGGTGGTAATTCCTAGATAACAGGCTATCAAGAGCAGGAACGAGAGCACCACTGTGGCATGCAAAGAGTACGTAACCTTTATTCGGCGCATGTACACACCCTCATTTACAGGCTATCTCCCCCAACCAGCGAACCAGGTTGCTAAGAGTTGATGATGGGGCCCCGTCGTTCAACTAGTGACCAGGTTCTAGCCAATAAGATGGTGGTTTTGGCAATCGCAGAGGTTATGTGGGTACCACTCTCCTGTCTGCCCTTGTCATTCCCATTCTAGAGCTGGTTGAAGCACGGTCTGCTATCTTGTGGCTTCTATTTCTGCCTTGCTTACCGTGGAGTGCACTATACTTATCACTGTACATAGTGTACATATTGCTGTTCTAAATTGGTGAAGGATAATATAAGTCTAATTTTTTTCTGCTGTGTTTATTTTGCTCCCATTACACCCGGGATAACAGGCCATTTGGAATCATGGGTTGTGATATGGGTAGCCTGTCCGAGAGCTGGAGCTGGACTTAGAGAAACGGTTGAGCTTAGGGTGAAGCTCGTAGCAGGAACATTGTGCAGCTTGCTGTCTGGCATTGCATTAGCTTCGCCGACGCTTTACAAATTTTGCGTGTCAGTTACTGTTATGGTCAGCCTTGCTATTGTGTGATCGTTCAACAGCTCGCTACTAGCTTGTTCGGTGTGCTCGCTTCGCTACGGTCAATCTTCTAGAACAGTATAGCTGTCTGGCATTGCTTTACAAATTTTGCGTGTCAGTTGTTACTTTTTTTATATTTTATTTAAAACCAATACAGTTTAACATAAAAATAAAGAAACAGTATGGATCTCAATCAAATTAACTGACAAACAGATTTCACCTATATGCTCGCAAGATATTGCTGCAAAAACATACAATAATAACTTACGGCAAGAACATAGCTAAAAAAAAAATACTGTCACAGGGTCATGAATAGACATATATACACCTTCATTGATGCAAAAACCTTGCATATATATAAATTGTACATATAACATGACATCTGACAAAGGCTCAATACACTTGAACATAAAACATACAAAGAAGTTATATTAGTTAAATCCCATCCTTCGCATTAATCAAAAAACCAAAACCTAACATTATAATCTTACTAGAACATCTACATACGTATCCCTAACAATACAGCTTTACATATACCAACATACGAAAAAACAAACTGTCTAGATATGTCTGTATACCATACAGACTAAAACTTAACATCAAGAACTTAGCATTGACACCAAACCGGTATCAGGGTACAGACCAGAATTATAAACTTTAAAAAGAATCGAATCATACATATATAAAGTATTACATAACGTCTGACCCATGACAAAGGCTCAATACAATAGAAAGGGATATATATATACACACACACACACACACACACACACACACACACACACACACACACACACACACTACACAGGTATGAGAAACTTCCTGCAGGA